GAGAGGGGTTTAATGCAAGCAACTTGTGGAAACTCCACCTGTAACTCCCCCTTCCTGACCCCCCACATAATGTAGATGGTTCAAATCAAGGCTGGCTTGGACAGCTGGGGACTGTCCCAAGGCACAGGGCAAGGTTGGAGCTTGTGTCCCACCACCTGCTATGAGGTTTGGAGCTTTTTTTTTTCTTGCAGGCATCCTGGCTACTAATTCCTGAAATTAGCTGTAGCCACTGGCATCTTAGAGTTACAACCAACTTCCAATTCCCAGTTTGCTCCTTTCTTGGCCTCACTGTATATTGAGAGTGTACTTTTTTTTTTTCCCTAAAAGACAGTGAGTTTCAAGAGCAAGCCTGTCTTTTGTCCTTTTTTTGTTGAGACATCCTTCCGACTGTTTAATTTTGTCCAAGTAAATGCAGTGCTCTCCACGATAATTATTTGGGGGTGGGAGGGAAAAGGAGAATGTGGCTAATTTGGTGGTTTTGTTCGCAGCTGTGTTGGCCTCTGTTCCCAATCAAGGGAAAACTGCTTTTTTTGTCTGACTAACAGGTCAGAGCTTGGGATACAAGTAAAACCCCCCAGTGTGGACTGCACCCAAGCAGTGAGGCTCTCTGCCAGCACGAGGAGCTGCTAAGAGCTTTTTGGATAGACAGGAATGCTCCGTGTCTGGATTTTCCTGCTGTTCCCATCGCCCTCCAACCCAAGGCCTGCAGTGCTGTAATCATCTGGTCTCCATACTCGTTGATCCAAGTATTTCCAGTGCCACATGGTGCATTGCAGATGGCAGCAAGTTTAGTCAGTGAAACAGCAGTATTTCCTGTAATCACACACAGATAAAAGCTGCCTACTGTACTTTATTTTTATTTTTTTTCAGCTCTTTAGCTTGTTTGTATCAATCCCATTTCCTATAAAGGCTTCACATCTGATTAAGTGTTAACTTTATCCTCCCCTCTGGGCAGAGGAGACCACGTAGGGCCTTAAATCTCAAACCACAATGTTTTATTGAAGGTGTTAGGCCTATGTGGTGTGACTGCAAATCATGTGCGAGCTCGTTAACCAGATCCATGGATCTGTAGCCAAAACTTAGTTCGTTGCCCACCGAAGTGTGAGATGCTAGAAGGAACAGAGAGCTGCTCTGGTTATTTAACTTACATTCCCAACACTAAGGGTTATATTTGTTGTAACTGCAGCTAAAACTGCTAATATATTTGTTACTCCTTTTAGGGGAAAATAAAACCCAAAAGGTTGCTTTTTTTTTTTTTTTTTTTTTTTTTCTTCCCATGTTACCTGTTTAAAAAACAAGCCCCTGCAGAATGAAGTCTTTTCTTAGGATATTTTAAAATCTGATTTCTAGTTTAGCTCCCTGAATGTTTTAGTACTTTGCAGAGCCCGTTTTGAGTATTTGAATGACCAGAATAAAGTTACTGTTGAGTAATTTATTCATATCTTATATGTACAGTGAAATCCTCTGAAAAGAGATTTGATAAAGGAATAAACTTTTAAATGAACCAAACCTCACCTGTTTTCATCAGAGGTGTTCATCTCGGCCCTTGGCTTGAGGCATTCAGGTTGCTGCTTAGCTCTCCTTTCTGGATGAGGGTAAAATGCTTCTCCAAGGGGAATTTGCAAAGGACAATCAGCAGCTGAAGATCCAGATCCTACGGATGGAGATGGATGAGCGGGGAGAAAAATCCCTGCTGACGCTGCCAGCAAGGAGAGATGCAGCAAACTGGGTTCAATGTGTGTTTTAGATCGTTGTCCTTTTGCCAGAAGGGAACTCGGGAGAAGGAGGAACCTGGAATTCCGACCACGGCCACTTCTGGCAGAGCTTGGAGGCGGAAGCTCCCTGGAACAGCAGCACGGTGAGAGATGTTGTCTGCGGCAACTTCCAACACAGAGCTGTTGGCAAAGAGGTTTTCCTCTCCCTGATAGATCAGAGCATCCAAAACTTCCTCTTCCCAACCTCGATTTGGTTACGTGAATCCTGGAAAGGGTTCAGAGACTGATGAGAGCTTCCAAAAAAGCCGTTTTGTTTTTTTTCCAGTGTGTTATTGCACGTTTTAAACGCTAGAGGGGGGTTGCAAGGACAGGTACAGAGCGCTACGCACCCCTCGCTCTGCTTTTAGTCATTTAAGAACAACGAATGCAAGCTGGTGTAAAATGAAGTGCTTTTCTGAGCATTAACAGGGCTAGAAACCCCAGCCTGTCTTTTCTCTCATGGTCTTTAGGACACATCGTTCCCCAGACGACGTTTGATGAACAATTTGATTTGATTTAACGGTTGTTTTTGTGTACCAGGCATGCCTGAAACCCCTCTTTTACTGTAAGCACGTCTTCCTCCACGCTCTATTCATATAAATCTATTCCCGAATCTCTTTAAGGATAAATTAAATCTATTCCTGCCTTCTGAGCGTCTGGCAGGACAGAGCAGCACGTTAGGAATGGGTAAGAACCAGAACAAGGAGCTGATTGGGGTGTAAGAGGCCTCCTGAGATGTGAAGAGCTGCCTTGGTCTGCACAGGAGCCTGGGTGGTTCCTCCTGCTGCAAGCGGAAGGAATTCCCCCTTTGCGGAGCAGACGGACACGGACCTGGCAAGCCTGGATTTGCCCCGCGTGAGCCTGGAGAAGGGGCTCTCCTGGAACCTACCCAGGCCGTGTGGCTTAAAGGTACCTGTAAATGTTCTGTCCTCCTTGGGGTCTTCCGAAGAGCGGGACGAGCTCCCCTGGGGTCCAAGAGGGAGGTTTGTAACCCCTGGAGCTGTGTCCTGCAGCCTCCTTCCCGCTGCGGAGCCGCCAGGGCCTCGTCCCCGTCTCCTTCCCCGCATCCTGCCCCTCCGCGGGCCGCGTCCCGTGGGGCCGGTGCCCCCATAGACCTTCTCCTCGGCCAGGAGAGGTGTGGAAGCGCTGGAGCCCCTTGGATTCACTCCCCACGGGAGCCGGGACGCCCGGAGCCTGGGGGGGAAACGCAG